TGTCTCTAGATACTTCTCACCTAGTTGACATGGGGTCTGTGAGGGACTCAGGGACTCATTCCATCTGTACCCAAATAGATATCCTCAGAGAGAGCAGTAAAATGTTGAAAAGGAGATTAGTGGCTTTTGTGTTTCTGAGGCAGTCAGTCCCTCAGCCCCTGTCACGCCTCTCCCAGGCATAATGCCAGTTATTTTTGCATCGCCATTACTTTGGCTCCTGGCTGAGGTTTTGAGAGCTCGTGTGAGGCGGAGCTGTTCCCTCGGCTGGCCTTCTGTAAAGTATGTCCGCATCATATGCTTTTAGTGTAATAACTTGTTGCGCTCTAAAAAGATACTTCAAGCTGCACTCTAGAGAATTGCTTTTTTAAAAGCCCAGGGCAGATATTCGCAGCCCCAAAGGATGCTATGTAGCGCACAGGAACATGCCATTCAGTGTGAGGTTTTGAAATCTGGGATGTACAGGAAAATTAGGAACTCCCGACTCCTCTTTGGAATCATTAGAATAATACAGATCTAAACCTAGTCTTTGATATTTTTTTTATTATAAGTTTATACTTGAAAGAGTCATTGATTGACTTGTAGTAAGTTTGAAACGGGACACCCCAAAGGAAGCAGAATGTTTCTTTCTGGGCGCTGAGTCTGTCTGGTAATTGTTTTAAGCATCTTCCTGTTCTTAGTCACATTGGAAGCGAGGGTTAGAGAAATTGCCTCACTTGGGGACTAACCAATTTTTTTTTTTTTTTTACTCACTTCCTACAAGTGGAAGTGTGAGGGCCAGCCAACGGGTCATTTTAACACTTCTCTGAGAGGCTTTTGTCTTTGGCAGCACAATAATCTTCCAGACTTGTGTTTCTTGTGTATTTATTTATGTATTGTATTTTTCAGGCAGTCCTGTATGCTAATAAACGCACCCTTGATTTTTTTTTTTCCTTCTCAGCTGAATGCCATATATTTACTGTCTCGTTTCTCTGGCTCCTCTTAGACCCCAGAGAAGCCGTCTGGGACTCCCCGGCTTCTCTTAGAAAGCTTCATCTTTATTCAGTCCATTTGCTGCCGTGTGTCCTTGAAGCCATGTAATTTGGCAACATTTTCCCCACCTTATACCCATTACAGTCTTCCTCTCTTCACTGGCTCTCCCCACATAGTGAAAGCTGACCTTGAACTTTCAATAATGGTCTTGTCTCAACCTCCAATGCCTGGCTCCTGTTACTTTTTTGAAACTGGTCGTTTGTTTGTTTATTTGTTTGTTAGTTTGTTTTTCTGACTAAATTTTCTTGGAATCCCTTTTGAGAAACAATAACAGCCTTGTTATTTGAGACTTCCAATGTTTTCTTCTTTTCCCTTTTCTCTCAGAGCCACAAACAAGGTCATTAGGCAAGGAGGTGTGTGTCCTGCCCTGGCAGAGACAAAGGCTCAACTCCAAGTCTCACCACTCCATAGAATACAGCAGCATCTTCCTGCCTTTTGAGGTCGGTTGCCTCATTGCTTCCTGACCACTAAAACGAGATTATGTATAATTTTAGGTTTTGCTAAAGCAGAAACCTACTTCGGGTACCAAGTTCTCTACAGTCAGGATGCGTTAAGGCCATGCTGGGATAGCAAGCTGCCCAGCAGTCCTCACAGTCCTCACAGACTCAAAAGATAAATTTTCCTTTTTGCTCATACAAATGTCTGCCATGGATTTGTTCCACACAGTGAGACCCGAGTCTGTTAACATGCTCCCATCTTATAGTTGTAACACTTCTTGGAATACTTAAGTCTTCTTGGTTACACGGCAGGGAAAGGATGACTCTTTCCCCAGCAGTTAACCTGGTTACTACAGCCTAGAACCAGTTGCATGGGCCTACTCACAGACTGTACAGCTGGGGAAGGGCCAGAAGGAAGCACGGATGTGAGGTAGAGCCAGCGTCCACCCAAGCCTTCTGAAGTTCTGAGAAAGCACATGTCTTTGTGCCTAGAAGAAATGAGGGTAGGAGGTGGGGTGACCCATAGTGCCACCTCAGCTTTGGGGTACAGCTAAGGGAGGTAAATGCTTTAATCACCCCAACTGAGTCTCTTAGGTTTACAATGCAAATTGTCACAATCCTGCGTGACAGGTCAGTCAGTTCCTGAGGCATGGTAATGAATTTACAGCAGTTCTAAATTCTCTTATCTCATGGAGGTGTCAGGACTGGGTCATAGATCTCCCAATGGCTTTCTTATCCTGTCACCATCTAAGGGGGGGACAACTAAGAGAAAGGAGCCCTCCCAAAGCCCAGGGAGTCTAGGGTCAGGAATGCAGGTGATCAAGGTCAAGTACTTGCTCTGCTAAGGTGACACAGGGAAGGATTCTTATTCCCTTTTAGTCATGGTTGAATTTCATCAAGGAGATAAAAATCACTTGTTTCCCAGGTTGCCAAGCAAATTGGCTTACATAAATAAGTTAGCGCAGAGAGGAAGGAAGTTCCCAGTCTGGTACCCTGAAAGAATGCTTTGGGTCAGCCCTGGGCTTCCCCAGTTGCTCCAAGGAGAGGCGCTTTCTCACTCTTACCCCACCCTCGTGATCTCTCCTAAGCGTCCATGTCCCAATTTTTAAAATAAGGATAAGAATTCCTTGGTGGCATTAATAGGGATCCTTTGATGAAGTGTTTCAAAGAAGGTTAGGAAGCCAGGCAATGTGGATTTTCTAGAAGTTTCTCTGAGAAAGGATGGAAGTTGAGTCAGAGCTGGAGGGCACCCCTGGGTCAAGGCGTGTTTGTTTTTAAAGCGGGGACACACCAGAGCATGTCGTATAGTGGGGGCATGAGTCATAGTGGAATGTGGGGGAGGGGCAAAGTAGAGGAAACTTTAGATGGAGCAGTGGGGATCGGCTTCGGCTTCCCATTCTAGGAAGATGTTCTCCTGTGGTTGGAGGGAAGCCTGCAGTTTCAGAGTTAAAAGGGTGAGATGCATATCCAATAGCTTTTGCAATCTCAGTGAGCCATGAGGGAAGGATGCTGGCGGGCATGCCCAAAGCCCTGAGAGTGCGAAGGGCAGAGGGAAAAGAAGAAATGTGTGAAATGACCGCAGTATGGGGAGGCATTATGATGGTAGACAGTCTCTGGAGTCTTTGTGAGTGCAAAGCCACCAGAGTTAGAGCGTTCAGCAAGCATTCATGTTCCCCCCAGTGAAGAAATCGTGTTTGAGTAACTGAGAGGTAATAGAAAGTTTAGTTAAAATGCATTAATTAATCATGGCTTCCACAAATGGAATAAAATATAAGCATTCTAAAGTTGTTGATAGATTAAAATGTTAGTAAAGTAGAGTTGTCCCCATCTCTTAAAATGATGTGGCTTCATGTGGAAATGAAGCTCCCCATAGCCCCTCGTTTTCATGTATAGCTAATATGCGCACTAACCCATGCTAGTAATGAGTCTGCCTCCCTTGGTCACCTCCTGACCCTAGACCATTAAGGAGACATTTGTAAACAAAGCAGAGCCCGAGTATCTGGGACAGGACATCAGTGGCTTATTGGATAGGTACCTCTTAAGTATCGCTGAATTGGCCAATTTGCCACAGCTATGCATAAATGCATTGTTTGGTTGCGCGAGAAAATAGCTACTAATCTCCAGTAATAATGCGGTGTCATTAAGCTAATAAAGCTACAGAAATTCTGTCCCGATAGGTATGCAGCTGAATTATTATCATTATCTGGATGTTACCTTTAGGCTTTTTGATGCCTCTATTGGCTAAAGAGCCTAATTTCGAGGCTTTTTATCTGAGACTGAAAATGTCGCCGCTCATCAACACCTCTGCTTGCTGAATGCGCTTTCTCAAAGGTCAGCCTGACTACGCGTCTGCAACCGCCTGACATCACCGGGCTAGCGATTCGGGGGCTGCCGAACGCTTCGCTTTTCTAATGGGGTCTTCCTTTGTGCTCGAGTCTTTGCTTTTTGTTTTGCTTTGGCCATTTTCTATCATTTTGTGTTTGAATAAAGACTCATTTTTATTTTGTAAATTACTGTTTGGGATAATGTGGCACACACTTGGGAGGCTGAGACAACAGAACGGAGAATTCTAGCCCAGTTTGGGTTATATAACATCTGTTTTGTCTCACAAAAGAACAAAACACTGGCGTCATTATTTGGGGCCATTTTTCCTATTCAGTTTCTCTTTATTAAGGCAAAGTCTAGCAATAATTGGGGTTTTTGTGGTGACAACACATCTTAATGTTATTAATATTTATCCTCTTGAGGGATAGTTGGGCCTAGATGCCAACTGTCTGTTCCCAAACACTGCTAGTGTAGCCATAGAAAACTTATTCAGCCTCCCATATAAAGCTTTTTCAGCCTCTCAAGGTCTTCGTTTCCTTCTGGGTCACACAGGGGTGAGAGCAGTATGCATAGTAAGTGAAGTAATATGTAAAAAAACAAAAAACAAAAACAAAAACCCTAAATGGGCCTATGGTAAATAGCCAAGATATGTTGGAAATATGGAATGATTTGGGCTTAGAAATAAGTGGTTTATTCTGTAGTAGCAATGAGAAGAAAGAAATTAGAACTTATTCCAATGCATAAGAACAGAATTCTTTAATTAATCATGATTATCGATATACTACTTAGTAGTAGTCTCTTAAGTATGAATGATGCCTTTATTTTTTCTTAATAAGTGGATGGATATTTAATGTTAAAACAGACAGAAGCCTGATGATGGTGGTTACAGCGGTGACTATAAAGCCGTGTGGAAGCCCCTTGTTCTGGTGGACCTGCTCTGTATCTTGACTTTGGTGGTGATATGGTTGTGTGCCCTGTACAGAAGGAAATACACTTCTCCAATGAAACTGGAGACCTCTCAACAGACTGAACTGTGTTAACTGAGTTGTAACATTATATGTGGTTTTGTGAAATCTTGCAGCTGGGGAAGACTAAGTCAGGATCGTCTTAAAAAACTGAACTCAAATCTGCAACAGTCTCAGAATTACCCTTAACCAGTGCATGTTCAGTGCTGTGTGGTGCTCACAAATACCTTCTGTTTGCTTTCAGGTTGTTCCTGCCGGATTCGCACACTGTGTCATTGGCTTTTGTAAGTTGGTATTCCGTCTTTCCTTGTCTACTTTTAAAAAAATCCTCCTCTCCAACATTTTGACACATTCCCCCCCCCCCCGAATTACAGGACTATACTTCCTTTTGCTACATAATGTCAATTAATATCCCAACTAGTAAGCATGTTAAGACAAACACTTTAGAGACTGTATTGCATGGTGTCTATTTTCTGATATCCCCAAGATGGGTGAAACAGAACTCAAGAACAAAAATCAACATATTGATTCAGGAACTGTCAGAAGATATTGCTAACATAATGAAAATAAAGGCACCCCAGGCAATGATAGTAATTTGATATCTTTAAAATCCATTTACCATATGAGAGTCTTCTATAGCAAACTCAAAAATGGCACAAGGATATTTGTTAAATGAGAAATAAGGATTTATAAAGAATCTATTATAATGTAACTGCCATTTCCATAGCAGATAGATAGATAGATAGATAGATAGATAGATAGATAGATAGATAACTACCTAGACAGACAGGCCACAGAAATCAGAAAGTGGGATACGAGAAAGGGGCATTGAGGGTAGAAACATGATTGCTTATTAAATGTAGTTAGGAATGCAGGACTTCTGTGGATAATTATAACCAGAGTACCAGTAGATGGTATAATGGGAGCAGTGTGAGGTCTGAACCCTTGAAGTTTCCGCCCTGCTACTGTATGATTTGGGCAAGTCTCTCCGCTCACTGGAGCCCATTTTCCTCCCTCTGAAAAACAGACTCATAATGTCTCACTTATGAGGAGGATCAAGTTGTAATATCTGCGTTCTTTGCAAATGCTTCTGAAAGATGAGTCAATGAATTGATGAGTGTATCTGACCTTTGCCACAGGCTTTCTTTAAGTAGTACATTTCATGAGTACTTTTGAAAAATAATTTGATGTAGAGGAACTTAATGAGTTTCCAGAGAACCTCGATTGAGTTAGAGTGACCTGTAATTATATGAAGCTGTTCATAAGATCAGCTTCCTATAATGAAGCAAGTTCTTGAGGCATGCTAATTTCACAGCACCTTATAAAAAAAAAATCTTGACAGATATTTCTGTCTCCATTTCAGAAGGCTGGGAAGGCAGAGGCATTAGTGTAACCTCTGAACCTGAAGTGAGTCAGTGGCCAGATTTAGCTTTAACATTCTTGATGTAACAGTCACTTGTCTTCGTCACAAGCCACCTTTCTTTCCTCCCCACTTTTCAGTTTTCTGAGGCAGGGTCTCATTATAGAGCCTAGGTTGGCCTTGAACTTGTGGCCCAGCAGCCCCAGCGTCTGGGTGCCATGCTGAGACTATAGGCATGTGCTAAAACAGCCTGCCCTGGCTTTCTTAGTTAATTTCTGTCTAACCTTGAAAACAAGGGCAAGCTTTCACAGAGGTCTGTTCAGTACCCTCTGTGGTACCTCTTCCGTAGGTGAAGAGAGACAAGAGTCAGTGAATTGAGGGCTCAGGAACTCTGTGGTGAGCCCCAGGATAGTCCTGAGGCTTGAAATGGGACATGTGTGTGTGTGTGGGTGGGTGGGGGTGTTCTGCATCAAGAAGTAGGTTTTCCATGTCTTTCATTCCAATGTTGTTTACTTTCCTTTTAGTTTAGGAATTTTGAAAGGTAACCCCTCGTTCCTCGTGTTTACTGGGAATGAGTGACAGACGTGGAGTAAACCACAGTGAAATGAGCACGTTGCATTACAGGGTTCTGTAAAGATTGTGTCAAAGGAGCAGTTCTGAATTCAAGGGCAAATTTAGAAACCCTTTTAATTATGTTTATTCAATAGAGGTAACCCCCCTTGGGAAAACACATTTTTCTTTAGACTCCCTCGGGTTCACCCTGCCCCTGGCTAGCCCTCTTCACTCCCTCAAATACAAACATTCTTTCACACACAGACTCTATTTAGGACCTGGTTAGCCAGCTTGGGTGATTCCCTGGACCAAAAGGGGAAAGAAAGTAACTGTTCCATCCCCGTTCCTCCTCTTTGAGCTGTGTGGCCTTCCCTGGGGATCCTGCTTTTGAGAAAGCCTAGAAATTAGAAATGACGGTTTTCAGTTGGAACAAACCAGAGCTTGCTGGGTGCAACAGGTTTGCTGTAATTTAGGAGTAGATTGATAAGGGCTGCACCTTTGCAGCTCTTAGTTTGGGAATAAAGTTTCCAGAAAGTTTGGGTTCAGTGGCATGAAAGAAATTTCAGACCGTTAAGTGAGATCATCACTCCTAAAGATAGGAAGAAGGGGGAAAAGCGAGAGTTTATTTATGGACTGTCAGAGGGCCATTGAGGCTCAGCAGGCCCCAGAAACCTAGGACTTCCCTTGGTGCTTGCTTTCTCCCTCTGACCTTGGATGAACTAGCGAGCAGTATATTATGCCAGACAATTGTGTCGGTTTGTCATGGGTAGCATTCGGGGCTGTCACTGGAATGTAGGAAACGGATGAATTTGCATTGAACCATGAGGTGGTCTGTCGGGCCCTCTCCTGGTCTCAAGGAGACCTGTCGCAGTTTGTCTGGGCCGGGCCTAATGAAAGCTTTGGAGGGAAAGAGAGGTGGGCCTTTGATCTCTTTGTTCCAGCTGCTCCCTGGGAACTCACTGAAATCAATGCCCTGTTTTCCTGAAGGAATGAATGGCTCTGCCTAACTAGCTTTGTAAAGCTGTAGGGAATTCACTGCCTCTGTTTATTGACAGCTGAAAGGAGGCACACGGGGTGGAAGGGACCTTCTTGTGAAAACCAGGCACAGGGAAAATTAGACCTCAATTTAACACAGAGGAATTTGGAAATTTACCCCAAAGGAGCCGAGAGTTTCTCATGCTTACATTAGGATGATTCAAGTTTGGGGCTAGTGTGCAAGGAACAATGGCGGTTTTGTCACAACTACGCTATAAGTAGGAATATGGTCTGCATAATGGATGGCGGTAAGTAGGCGCCCATTCAACGTCCCCTTCTCTTCCTGAAGCAAAACAAATGCGAGCCGTGATATAATCAGGTGATGCCCTTTGTTTTTATGTTAAGGAGAAGCATGAATATTGCCCGTGACTTCTCCAAAGTTTGTTGTTCATTTGTTTGTTTCAAAACATCTTTGAACTTGAGATCTAAGTTCATACCAGGGACTCCTGCCTGCCCATCTTGTGTGATTATAGTGGGAATGTAATGATTACCCATCAGAAAGTTTTTCTGGTCTTAGACTGTTGTAAATGGAAGTGTGTTGTCAGAAACTGATAGTGGACCAAGATAGCGCACAGAATAACAATAGTTTCTAAGTCTTAAAACAACTACCTTCCTTTTCAGAACAGAGTCAAGAAAATTCTCCAGCTTATCGCAAGGAAGTATCTCACCCCTTCTTAGCAGTCTTCCCTCGCTTGCTTCATTTCCCAGCAAGAATTTATGGCTTTTTCCTTTGGCCCCAGCCCTTTGTGCGTACCTCGATCATAGCACTTAACACATCCCCCAGAGCTCTTTGTTTAGGTGTATTCTTTTAACTGGAAGTAAAGCAGCTGTGCCGTATTCATTTTTATATCTTCAAGCCTCGCAAATCTCTTGGCTCACTTAATGTGGCTGAATGAATAGGGATTGATGGCTCCCTGTGAACGTAATTACTTACCCAGGCTTCAACTGCAAATACTAAATTTTAGGGAAACTTGATTGGTCTATTGTACCTGATCAGCGCTATTGCTCTTAAAAAAAAAAAAATCTTTCCATTATGGAAGATATCAAACACTGATTTTTTTGGTTGTTTGTTTGTTTTTTGCCTTAGTAAAGTTGGTGGGGTGCCAATCAGCCCTTCTAGGAGGAGGCATTAAAAGCAAAGGACATTGTCTTTTGAGGGGCCAGCTTCCGGTTTTATTCTTTTCTTGGCATCATGTATAGTTATTTTCATGATGAAGATGAAAAGCCTTTCAATGAAGAGTCCTGTAGACTTTCACTTGAGTAAATTTAGTGACCGAGATGGATAGAGCTTGTGTTGAATATGATTTAGTTCTATGACATGCTGATAATATAGAATAAAGCCTCCCCTGGCCTTGCGCGTAACTTGCTTTTCTACCATTGTACTTTATGCATTCTCTGTTAAAGAAAACAAACAAATTCCCACCCCCAAATAAAAAACAAGGGAAGTTCCAATCCTGTAAACCACTTGGATTTCACAGGACCCTAAACCAAACCCGATTACTGAACTCTTCTCAAGTTAGAAACTATTTCTTTTTTGTTTGAACTTGAGATGTAGGGAGGAAAGAGATCAATATTCTTCAAGGGAATCCCATCTTAAAATGATAATGGAAAATTTTAGGAGGTGCGAGGGACAGCACAGCAACTGAACAGGGTTTGAGTCTCACGTTTGTTTTATTTTTATACTAAGGATAATTGTAAAGGAATCTATTTGGATTTCTGTTTTAAGTTCAGGTAGGGATGAAGTGGCAACTATAGGAATCCCATAAGGGAATGAGAGTTGGTACAGGTCATACAAACGTGTTGAGCCCAGGAGGGTAGATAGAGAGGTCAGATTTCTTCTGAAGCAGGTATCACTATGGTTCGATCCCTAGTAGATGCTCACCTCCAAAACTATTAACTTGTAGCTAGGAAGCATTTAGCACATAACTTGGCTGTTCAATCCTCCCCATTTCTGTAAATCCCTGCGACATCATACCTAAGTAGGGAGAGGCAAAAAGCAGCGAGAAGGTAGGAAATGTCCATGTGATGTATCATGTTTCAGCAATGAGGCATGCCCTTTGCCTGCTTTAATAGAGCACACGAGAAAGGGACTGCCGTTAACCATTGTGTGCGTGCTGTATGTACAGAGCTGGATAATTCCAACTATGGCATTCTCCAGAGAAGAGCTCATTTCTTTCTTCGCCCCAGGGTTAGTCTCACATTTAAGAAAGATTTCAAGAAACTTGGGAGTCAGCTTCTTAAAATCAATTCGGTCTCTTGGACTTCCTTCCCATCCATCCACCTATTCAGATCTAATAAAGTCATGTTAGATAAGCCTCATGGAGTCGTTCAAAATGA